CCCTTATTCCTTAACCTGCCATGTCTAACACCCCACCTTTTTAAATAATAAGTAGAGGTGGGAATGAAAGGTTCAGGCTTTAATGCTGATCGACAATATCTCTTTAAGAGACAGACTCTGCCCCCTGACAACAGTAGCACAGGAAAACATGCTACATCTATCACCACATTACCCGCCACGCATTACGGCCTGCGTGAGGACTCTGGGCGTGCGTGGAACCTCAGTACGCATGCACAGTCTTCCCTTTAAAAAGTTCCAACTTCCCTGCTGCTTGCTCTTTTTACTCTCTCTCTCTCTCTGCTTCTGCTTCGCTCTCTCTTCTCCCCACCTACACGCTCTCTCTGCCTCTCTATGGCGACCGGTCATGGTGGTCAGCCATTACCCCTGTTCTTCTTCTCTCTTTAGTCTCCATACTCTATAATAAACTAGTTAATATGTCTCATCTTTTCCTCTTTTTCTTCAAAAACATAACAAGGTCTACTCATGATTTACTATTAACATTTTGTTCTTTTTTCCTCTTATCTTTCTGTTTGTAGTTTTCACTGTTGTTTTGAGATAGAGTTTCCTTTGGCCCAGGCTGGCCTTGGCCTTGACTTCAGTATGTAACTAAGGATGACCCTGAATTTGTGATCCTTCTGCTGCCACTCCCCAAAGCTGAGATTCCAGGCATTTCCCACCATGGCTAGTTTTATGTACAGCAAGCTGTGACATCTTGTTTCCAACACATGTGGGAAGAGGGATCCTCATTTGGGGAATTGCTTCTATCAGAGTGTTCTGTGGGCACGTCTGTGGGGCATTTTCTTGATTTCTAATTATGTGGGAGGGCCCAGCCTACTGTGGGCCTAGTCTTCCTGAGAAAGACAGCTGTACTGGGTGTGGTGGCCTACATGTTGTTCTTTTGCCCCAGTGACAGGCAATGAAACACGAACCATGAGTCAACAAACCCACGTGGAGTTTATTGAAGGGAAAGGGAAGAAGAGAAGGAGTGTTGGCCAACCAGGAGCAGAGAGAAAGAGAGAAGCAGAGAAAGGAGAACGAGAGAGGGGAGGCAGCAAGGAGAGAAAGAGAGAGGGAAACAAAGGGAAAGAGCAAGAGGAGAGGGCACGTGGGAATGCTAGATTAAAAGGCGAAGCTTGCACATGCGTACTGAGTCCTTACACAGCCCCATAATGCGTGACGTACCCATGACGTGGCCACACAACACAGAACCCTTTGAGCTGCCTGAATGTACGTCCCATACATTGCCGGGGTGGGGTCAACATAATGCTGGGTTCCAACACTACATGTTTAATCCCAGCATTTAGGAGGCAGAGGCATGTGTGTCTCTGTGGGCTTGAGGCCAGCCTGGTCTACAGAGCAAGTTCAAGGACAGCCAGGCCTACATAGTGGTACTGAAAGGACCAGCTTCCCATTTCAGCAGCCATAACAGCCTGGCACATGCTTGCCTGACCTTGCCTTGGTCACTAGGAGGTCAGATGCTTGCCTCGTGGCAAGGAACCAATCAGAAGTTAGCTGGTGGTGCTATGCTTTATGGCTCTGGGTGTGCTTTATGGACAAGTGCACAGCAATGACGTGCAGCACATTGCAATTGCCCTGGGAGGGCCTATGGGCCATAACAACCAGTTGACCAATCAACACAGGGCAAGTCCTCCAAGCCTGGAGGCACACCAATCCTGAGCCTGTGAGTACCCCTAGACACTCCCCTTATGCTGCCCTATAAGATCTCTATCTCAAGCCATCTGCCATGGTGGATGGATGAAAGGCCCGAGCTAACATGGGGTTAGCTCGTTAAACAACTGCAGTAAAGGCTCGTGCTGCTTGCATCATGCTTTGGACTCCCCCTGGTGATTGGGGTCATCGAGATCCTGGACAGAGATCCTGGGGGCCTGAGCCTCGGGGGTCTTTCAGTACCTTATCTCAATCACCACAACTGTCCCCATGGTGGGGCAGTGGAGTGGGGGTGGTGAGCAAACAAGAGGAAGAAAGCCAGAACACAGTGTTCTTCATGGTTTTATTCAGTCGCTAGCCTCCAGGTTCCTGCTTTGAAACCCTTTCTTCCCCCAAGTTGTTTTTGGTCTTGGTGTTTCTCACGGCAACAGAAAACCAAACTATAACCCTAGATAAACATTCCTCCAACAGAGCCCCACCCAGCCCCGCCTTTTCTTTTCTAATGCCATGTAACAATACATCAGAATATATTTGACCTTGGGAGACTGCAGTCCTGTGCTAGACTGCTTGCTCACCTAGTACCACAAAAATAATTCAATTAAAATTTTGAAAGAAGACCAGAGAGATGGCTTGGTGGTTATAAGCACTGGCTGCTCTCCCAGAGGATCTGGGTTCCATTCTTAACACCTACGTGGGGGCTCACAACCATCTGTAACTCCAGTTCCGGGGGGACCTGAAGCCCTCCTCTGGCCTCTGAGGTCACCAGGTATGAAAGGCAAGATAACACATATGCAGGCAAGATAACAACACACTTAAAATAAATGTGAAATAAATAGATAAATAAGGGTTATTGAGATGGCAGATCTGGTAGACACCTGTCTCCAAGCCTGATGACTTGGGTTTGCTCCCAGGGAGTCCAGCATGGAAAGAGAACTGACTCCTGCAGGTTGTCCTCTGACCTCCATACACAAACACACACCAAATAAACAAATAAATAAATAGATAAATAAATAAATAAATAAATAAATAAATAAATCATTTTTAAAAACTTGGCCATTTTACCAGTGGACATTTGAATAGTTCCAGAGTGGCCTGGCATGAGGATGGCGGCTCAGAGCCTTCTATCAGCCTTCTGATAGAAGGAGCATTTGGTAAGTGTGTTTATTTCCCTTAGTGGTGACATTTTTGGTTTGGAGTGGCAAGGTTGCAAAGGCCTTGTATAAATATTTTTGCCATCTCACATGCAATTTCTTGTGGCCCCAGCTTGGTTCTTCCCCAGTGTTCCCTCTGGGGTTGTACCAGATTTTATCAGTTTTCTTATTAACCCTTTCAGGGAAATGGAACAATTTTGCTTTTGTGTCTTGGCCAGGAATTGCTTGATCCAAAGTTCTCTTTTCTTCATATTATAATTATTTTCTTTCAGTGATAGAGTCTCACATACCCCAGGCTGACCTCAAACTCAACGTAGTTGTGGATGATCCTGGTCCTCTTACATCTACCTCCCAGGCACTGGGATTTCAGGCCTTCACTGTCTGCCCAGCGTGAATCTGGGATCCTTGAGAGGGGTCATGGTAAAGAATTGAGTCAGGCAAGGCACTAGGGTGGTGGAAGAAGACAGAGAGAGAGAGAGAGAGAGAGAGAGAGAGAGAGAGAGAGAGAGAGAGAGAATCTGGAATATCTATAAGGATCTGAAAACAGAATGTTCTCATTTTTAAATGTGGAGGTTTATGGATAGAGATAGAAACAGTCTATAAAATGAGAGATGTCTGACTTGAATAGTTAAGCTTGGCAAATAAAATTAAGATATTTCCTACAACTTCTGTTTTAAATTAGAATTCTAAGGATAGTGAATATAATTTTTGAGTCAGGGTACTGGACTCAGTGGTTAAAAGCATTTGCTGCTCTTGCAGAGGACCCTTGTTTGATTCCCAGCACCCATGTGGTGGCTCACTGTAACTCCAGTTCCAGGAGATCCAAGACCCTCTTCTGGTCTCTGCAGACATCAGGCATGCATGTGGTGTACATATATACATGCAGGTGAAACACATATAAAATAAATGTTTGTTAAAAAAGATAACCAGGTTTGATGGCACATGCCTGTAGTCCCAGCACTCAGGAGAACTGTTGTAAGTTTGAAGCTAGCCTGGCCTAATAGCAAGTTCCAGGCTAACCAGAGCTATGTAGCAAGACCTTGGACGGGGGGCTGGGTATGTGATCAAGCACCTGCCTAGCACATGCTAAACTCTTCATTTCCCCAGCAAGCCCCCACATTAGCTAATTACTTAAACTATTTCTCTTCAGGGAGAAAAAGAACAATTACCACCAAATGATGGAAAACTTGGGGGGAATTCTGTGTGATGGCGTATTGGCTAATAACTACCAGCTGATGTGGAATTGCCAAGTGGTATAAATACTTTTACCAAGGCTCAACTGCTACCAATTGCTGGTGGAACTGTAAATTGGTACAACCACTTTATAAAACCATTTGAAGTGCCAGGTAGTGGTGGCACTTTAATCCCAGCACTGGGGAGGAGGCGGTAAAGGCAGGTGGATCTCTGTGAGTTCAAGACCAGCCTGGTCTACAGAGTGAGTTCTGAGACAGCCTCCAAAGCTACAGAGAAACCCTGTCTTGAAAAACCAAGCAAAACAGAATGGTTTGACATGCTCACTTCAGCAGCACACATACTAAAATTGGAATGTTACAGAGAAGATTAACATGGCTCCTGCACAAGGATAATATGCAAATTCGTGAAGCATTCCATATTTTTGAGAAAAACAAACAAAAAACATTTGATGCCGAATATAAGGGTTACTTGTGAAAGGACTGGAGGCAAATTGTACTCCTAAGTATGTGTGTCAAAAGACACACTTTTTTTTTTTTTTTATCGAGACAGGGTTTCTCTGTGCAGCTTTGGAGCCTATCCTGGCACTCGATCTGTAGACCAGGCTGGCCTCGAACTCACAGAGATCCGCCTGCCTCTGCCTCCAGAGTGCTGAGATTAAAGGTGTGCACCACCAATGCCTGGCCAAGACACACATTTTTTTCTATTTTTTTCCTTAAATTAGAAAAAGCTTGTTTTTCATGTCAATCCCAGTTCCCTCTCCCTCCCCTCTTACCCTGCCCCCCCCCACTAACCCCCTATCCTATCCCCTTTCTGCTCCCCAGAGAGGGTGAAGTCTTCCATGGGGGAATCTTCAAAGTCAGACACTTTTTTTTTTTTTTTTTTTTTTTTTTTTTTTGGTTTTTCGAGACAGGGTTTCTCTGTGCAGCTTTGGAGCCTATCCTGGCACTCACTTTGGAGACTGGGCTGGCCTCGAACTCACAGAAATCTTCCTGCCTCTGCCTCCTGAGTGCTGGGATTAAAGGCATGCGCCATCAACGCCTAGCTCAGACACATTTTTTACAATAGTTAAAAACTGAATATCTAAGCCTGGCTATGGTGGTGCAGGCCTTTAACCCCAGCACTCAGGAGGCAGAGCATCTCTGAGTTCTCGGTCAGCCTGGTCTACAGATCAAGTTGCAGGACAGACAGGGCTACACAGAGAAATCCTGTCCTGAAAAAGCCCAAACAAAACAAAACAAGATCCTAAAAAACAAAACAAAAACTGAAAAACTAGAATGCACACATAGCAACATACTCATGCAGCAGAAGACTACACCTCAGTGAAAACGGACAAGCTACTACACATAACAAGAAGATCTGGCTCATGTGAACAAGAGTAAGTGCTGTCTAACCATAACTATATGATGTTCAAAGCCGAGTTAAACTCTGCTAGTTAGTGGTTTCCTGGGGAGGACGGAAAGGAGTGTGATCAGGAGTGCACAAGAGACAATTTTCTAGTTGGTCACTGCTAGAAACCGAATGCTGTGCCCTCCTAAAACCCGCAGAGGCCCCCATTTCCATATTCTTAGGGGTTAGAGCCACTAGAGGTTGTGACTTGAAGGTGGGTGAGAAGGCATTCATGTGCAAGATAAGAAGAAAGCCCACACCTTGGTCCTGGATGTCCCAGTCTTACACTGTGAGAAATGTGTCTGCTGCTGTTGTCCTGGGTTACAGCAGCCCCAGCAGACTAAGCCAGGTAGGTTTCCACAGATGTGTTGAAGTGGTAATTATGTATAACCTATGATTAATAGGCTCTTCTGCATGAATTATTTACTTCAATAAAGTTCATTAAATTAATGTATTCATGTACTATTTGCACACAAAAGCAAAAAATCATTACCAGATTCAACTTTTCAACATGTCTAATTTGTAGACAAATCTTAGTGTGATTCATAAATTAAACACATTACACCTCAGCCAAACACACACAATTTTTCCCAGAGAAATTTAGGTCAACAACAACAAAAAAAGCTATTCATTTCTGTACTTAGGAGAAGCCATCCAGATGAAGCCAAAATACACAGTATTAACCAAGCAGTTATAAATCTAATCATATCAAAGAGATGTTTGGTGTCCAAACATACATTTTTAAGACAAATAAGTCCCCACTGGGGAAGAACCTTGAAGTCATCTCCTCTTATACCCAGCCTCCAGTGAACTATATCTTCCCTTTGATGGCTTCAGCCAACCCCCAAACTGATACCACCTAAATTCTGGATGCTTCCATGAGGGGGCACTACAGTCCCACGTCTAACAGGAGTCAGAATGGCCTGTGAAGTCCTCTTTATCTAACCTACTGCCACAATTCTAGAGAATGGTACCTCACCCAAGGAGGAAATCTTTGGCATGATAAGGAAGGAAGTAGGACTGAGCTCTTTATCCCTGGTCCGCAAGACCCTAGGCTCCACAACAGGGTCCTCACAGTCTGATGGAGGCATGCTTTCCCTTAAGATGATTGACCCGTGGCCAATGTGCTGTTAGTGACATTCATTTCATCATGATGGCTCTTTAACAATAAAGTCAAAGCACTGAGTTGGGTCTTGGGTCATCATCCAAAGACTGGTTATCAATTCATCTTGTGACTCCAGTACCAGTCTGAGCTGAGTTGTTTTGGTACCACCATTACCAGCCTCCTCTCCCTCTTCTTCCTCCTACCACCCTTCTTCCCAGGACCAACCCCGACTGCCCCCACCCCCCACGCCACCTCCACCCCCTGCAAGGTTGTTGCCTAAAGTCACCACAAGTCTCATGTTTGTGCAGTGAGGAGAGTCACATGAGTGGCTTAATGCTATTAGCACAACTTGATCTTAGGAAAACAAAACGAAAGGACTCTGTATTGAAAACATTTCTGTGCCTGAAACTTGCTTACGAACACAATAGTTCCTCTTGTTGTGCATGTTAATATCAACCTGGCCTAGCAACTAAACTTAAACGAGCTCTGGGAGTAGTAGCCTAGGGCTGAGAGTGCGTGCTGCCCTGGATCTGTCACTTACTGGCTACATGGACTTGGAAAAGCCCGAGAGCTCTTCGTATCACTTCCTTATAATGGGGAATGCAATCGTCAGTTTAAGTGTTCCTTATTCCAAAAGCTTGAAGCCTCGACAGGGATGGAGGTTCACATCTGTAATCTCAGTTCTTATGAGGCAGGAGAATGACAAGCTAGAGATCAGCTGGGCTAGAAAACAAGATTCTGCCAAATATGTATGTAGTCAGACTTCAGATTTTCAAATTTGAACTATTTGCATATAAATGAGATATTGGGCACATAGGATTCAAGTCTAAACTCAACAGATATAAATTTTTCTGCTACAAGGTGTCCGGGGACTTCTACGTGTGCACCATGGTATAAATGTAATAACTTTTTCAAAATTATTTTGTGTTTCATATATAATTCATGCATAGACTAGGGGGCATAATTTTTTGCAATATTTTTAGTGCCTACATTTTGTTTTTCTTTTGTTTGTTTGCTTTCTTTTGTTTGTTATGTTAGTTTTCTTTTCAAGACAAGGCTCCTCTCTGTAGTCCCACCTGTCCTGAAACTCACTTTGTAAATGAGGCTGGCCTCGAACTTAGAGATCCACCTACCTCTGCCTCTGCAGTGCTGGGTTTAAAGGTGTGCACCACCACCACTGGCTCAGTCTGCTTTTTTCATTCTATGCAGGACCATCTGCCCGGAGTGGTACCACCCACAGTGAGCTGGGCCCTCCCACATCAGTCATTAATAAAATTCCCCACAGCCTTGCCTTCAGGAAGATCTGATGGAGGCATTTTCTCAATTGAGTTTCATTTTCCCAGAAAACTCTAGCTTGTGTTGATGGCAAACTAAACAGGATGGTGATACATGCCAAGAATCTTACCACTCAGGGGCTAATGGCAAGAAAATCAGTAAGGACATGTCTTTAATCCCAGTATTTGGGAAGCAGAGGTAGGTGGATCTCTGTGAGTTCGAGGCTAGCTTGGTTTACAAAGTGAGTTCCAAGACAGTCAGGGTTGTTACACAGAGAAACCCTGTCTCTCAAAAAAAAAAAAAAAAAAAAAAAACAAACAAACAAACAAAAAAGAATGTATGTTTAATCATATAAAGATGCATAGCCTGCCTAACTAAGCTGATTAGTAAATAAAGAGCTTAATGGCCAATAGCTAGGCTGAGAGAGGGATAGGTAGAGCTCCTAGACAGAGAGAATAAATCAGAAGAGAAATTCAGGCTCAAAAGGAAACCCCTGATCCATCGCTCAAGGTTGCCCGTGCAGGATTGGCTGCAGCATGGGAGCGTGATTGTCAGACTTCAAGACAGGAATTGAT